GGCCTTTTAATTACTATTATCACAAGAAATACAACAGCTTTCATGCCACTTATCTTGATCCTGCACTGATTTTTCTTTAACGCTTTTTTGTTAATTGGGGCGGGGGGGGGGGGGGGTGAAGTAGCTACAAATCTGTGCATAGACAATCTGTGCACAGATTCTTATGTTGCCAGAAACTCTCAGCAGCAGAGCAGAGAACAAGTGAGCTTTTGACACTTGGTGGGTGAGGTGTTGTACAGCAGCTTGGCATAAACACAATTGCCTGGCTCTATCTGCCAAAACAATGACCAAATCTGTTAACAATGAGGAAATGGAAAAAGTATTGTTAAGATTTCAACATCTCATACCTTGGATGGTCAGATCAGCTCAAATCTCTACTGGCTAGTCATAAATATGGCCACTTACAGACTTTGCAGAAAATCATTTAAAATTTAGATACCAGCCTCTAATTATTTTTCTCTGTTTATTTAAGGATTTCTTGAAAAAAAAAAAAAAAAAAAAAAAAAAAGAACTAAAGGAAGTGATGAGATAAGTAAAATACCTATATAGATAAATATAATAACCTTCACAGTGGAAGAACATACCATGCTTACTCTAATTTCAGTTTCAGTTATATCTAATCCTGGAAGTGAAGTTTCATATTCTTAAAACTGATTATTGAAAGTCATCTAGCTTTCCACAAATATTATGAATAGTATAATTTTTAAAATATACTGCATATATTTTGTGATACTTGTTATGGAAAGGCTTTAACCTAGATCTAAGTGAAGTATAATGTAAAAGTGCTACTAGTTCCACCTCTGATAGAAAAAATGTCAATGAGAAAGTCAGTGGTTTCTTGATGAACAGCGGGCTTTGAAATTCTTCAAAACATCTGCTAGTCAGAGCTATGGAGATTTAAAATAACTTTTACTGGAAATACAAACAATAAAATAACATTTAATTCTTTGACTAGTCACTATGGGAAGGAGGAGGAAAAAACTCTGAAATAACTGGAAACATATCCTTTCACTCAGAGCATCACAAAATCGCAGTATGATTCAGTATATCCAAGTTATAACAACCAGCTTCAAGAATACCATTGGGAAGAAACAAAGAGCTGACTTTTGAAGATGATGTAAATCCTCCCAAGGAGCTACAGGAAGAAAAAAAAATGTTATATTGGCAGAAATAGGATCTGAGCCTAATGGCCAAAAGCTAATGATGAGAGAAAACTGCCTTCAGAGTGGACTGTAATTGATAAACTCCAGTGAGATCTTCTGTAGATGCTATATATGGGAACCATATCTCTCATTCTAAGTACATACATGGGAGCTGGGCCTGTCAGAGAGTACACTGTTGTAAACCAGATAAATAGCAAGACAGCTAAATACATACTTGAAAAATTCAGAACCATGGGGAAGAATTTGGACAAGGAGAAAAAAACATACTAGTGGAAGGATCTTGGACAGCTCAGGGAACAGAATAATCAGGCAGGAAAATAAAGTAATCTTAATATTTTCCACAGTTGCAAGATTATGAAGCACTGTTCTGTGGAAAACTTTCCAATTGTGAATGCCTATTTACATTAAAGTTGCATGAGTGGGAATCTGTGAGGCACAGAAAGTGCCAGGATGTAAAAAGTCCTTGGAGGCCAGAGGCAAATGGAAATAACTGCCTTATTCTAGCCTCAGACTTTCTGAGCCTTCTGCACCCAAAGGGATAAACAGACCAGTGCCTTGTTCTGGGGCTCTTGCTATCAGAAGAAAACCAAACCAGTCTCTTGAAGCCATTTACACAATGGGGGGGGGAAAATCACCGCTGCTTTCAATATCTTCCTGCCTTAGGCAATCACCTGCTTTGCCGAGCATATATATTGCAGAATCAGCCCTGGCAGCAAAATGGATTGGGTCAGGCAGTCTCAGTGTCATGGAGACAATGAGAAGAGATAGCACAGCTGCAAAAACCTGCCCTAGGCTCTCTGACTTACAGGATTTTAGAGGTGTGTTTGCAGCACTGACAGTTATGGGCAGTCAGTTTCCCCACACAAAGCCATTTGCAAATGGTGTATCCGTGCCTGGTCCTGAGCTCCCAAACATCTTTTGTTGTATCAAGATTAAAGGAAGATGAGGCAGCTGGGGTTAATAAGTTGAAAATCAATGCCATTACCAAAGAGAGCAGAAAAGAAAAAAGGAAAAAAAAAAAAAAAAAAAAAAAAAAATTAAACCCCTGTAGAAGCCAAAGCTTTCAACTATGCCTCTTGCTGTGTAGAAACACATTGTACAGTTCTCCTGGTTCTGTTTGGGTTTGACTTCAGATTTAGAGAGATAAAAACTATGGATGATGTCTGAATTTCCTGTTTATTAAAAAATGCATAGAGTTTCATATAGGCAGTATATATGCATAGCTATACATCTGTTTTTTGTTCACTGCACTGAGCTTTGGATCAGACCTTGCATGACATTTTTTAGGATTTGAAAGTAGCAGCATTTAGGATTAGTGAGGTTATGAAATCTAATTTCACCTTCTATGACCTGCTATAAGCAATGGTTTGACAGCACAGAACCACTTCACCACATCTTCACACTTTCTCCATGTTTCAGAGCTAATGACCACGTACAGAAGGGTAAGTTCAACAGACAGGAACATTCCTGTGCATTAAAATGAGATCAGTTTTTCTGTAAACCTGATTCAAATAGCCCGTGGCATGCTTTCTGCCTGTGTCAGCTAGTTCTATCCCAGAAAACTCATTATCATCATTTCTGTGTTTGGACATAGGCAGTTTGTATGGAAGCTGCTCTGAGCTGAAGGCAGAGACATCTCTAGTACTATATTAATAATAGATGCAGCCAATTAGATCAAATAATTAAGAGATCTCACAGCATTATCACCATACTTCTGTTGGTCTGTTTCATGCACTCATGATTGATGGTGACAATACAAAAGTCAACCTAGATGTTACTGACCAGTCCTGCTCAGCTGAATAGAGGGACATGCAAGGATCCAGACATCTGAACCCAAAGCAAAATCTTCTTCAACCACTGACTTTCTGATGCATGGTAAATTCAGGTTCATAAAGTTCAATGAGAATTAATTCAAAATTAGAATGATGTCTTCATTAACAAAGAAATGACAACTAATGAAATATGACTTTACACTTACCAATTTTTTTGTATCATTGTTTAAACACTGACTTTTGTACACCAGTACATTTTGCCTGTGTAAGTTTCTTACTTCGTGAGAATAAACTGCCACAGTTTTTCTGAGCAATGTTCATTTATACACTCATATTTTCATCTCTTTAATAACACTGTTTTACATTGTCACATCTTAATCTCTTTTGTTACTCTCTTGCTCCATCCTAGTTAGAAAACTGCCTCCCCTTTCTGAAACTAAAGAATAAAATATTAGGTATTTCCATCTTGGGTCAGCAGAAATAAAATTTCTCCTACAATAGCTTTCTTTTCTCTGTAAGCAATGATGATTTGCACATCAGTCAGAATAAACATTTTTTGTGCAGAATGTTTCAATGTCTCTATTAAGAAAGATTTCTTATTTACTTTTACTAACAAGGAATAACCACCTATATAAGCACTACCCATTTCACTTGCGCTGAGAAAAAACAAGGATCAGACATACAAAAACATTAGAAAGATGCAGCATCGTGCATTCTGGAAACTCAGAAGGAAGATCGGAAACTGGAATACTATTAATGAAGTACTGAGATTAATTTTTGAGAGAATAATGGAAGATGATAAAAAAACACAACAAATATCTGCACAATATCTGTGTCAATTCGAGTGTAGAGAATGCCTTGATCTTTGCGGATCAGTAACAGAACCCAGAGGGAAGTACCAGTGTATTCAAACCCATTAAAGCATTCAGTGGAAATTCTATTTTACTAGTCTTCCTCCTACTAGCAGCATGGTCATGTTTAACATAAAGTCTCTCTCCCAGCAACATTTGTCCCCTGCTCTCACCTAGAATACATAGCTTAATGTTAAAAGCATTCTTGCTTCCAGTTAGGAAACTGCAGTTTTCTAGATCAGATTTAGAACAGCGTCATTTTATTTTGTATCTAATGCATTGCACTGTTAGAAGCTGATGGCTGAGCAGGGCTATTCTCTTGACAGAGCTCTACCTCAGATAAAAATCCAAACATAAACCAGAGATTAACATATCTCAAAGATCAAGATCTTCAACAAACACATCCGTAATAGGGACATTACTACCAACTGCAAGAAAAAAATTCATTTTACGATGGGTAGGATAAATAGCAGTCTTTGTGCAGAGCTTTTAAAGACAGCAAGAACTTGTTTCCTTTATCTTCTTATTTCCCTTATGTGGAAGAACATAAGGCCAAGAATTAAGAAAGATTGGTCTTTGCCCAGTGAGGCTAAGCCTCAATGGATTCTCAGTGAAAGCCATAACAATTTCTGCTGACACAGATGCGTTGCAAGTCAAGCTTTCTCTGCTTATGAATTTCCAGCAAGTCCTAGCTGACTCGCTCTCTGTAAGGCAGAATACTAACAGAACAGTATCATCCTTTTATACACATTACAAATTGTAACAGATGAAAGTATTTAATTTTGCCATATGCAACCAAATCAAATGATCTGATGTAAAGCTTGCCCAAGTTAGGGAAAAGGCTTTAATCGGGCTTTGGCTCACTCTCTAAAATGTGACTAAGATATTTTATAGCTATTTCCAGAAAGCAAAACTTCACTATAAATCAACACAGTCTATTACCTGCTCAGCTTCATATATGCACATGTGTTTCCTTGACTTAATAAAAGCTATTCTGCCTTATTATAAAAGCTAACTCCACATTTTCTTTTTGTTATCTTTTCAGAAAGAGGCTAAGAGCATAAGAAAAACATATTTGGCTTAGTTTATTCCCTTCCCATTAACAATTAATTGAACAAATGTATTATTGGAGTTAAAATGCACTCTGAAACTGTGATTTTAATATACTTTATTGAAAAAGTACACCATTTTAAATTATTTTAAATGGGACAAAGCAATGATCATCTCTATCTACCAAGTCCTTTTTTGATGAATCATAACTACCATATGCCAAATTCACATCTGCATGACTAGCAAAGTAAAAAGATAAATCTTTTTTTTTTTCAACACATCTTTAAGAATTTATATCACCTACAGTTTAAAATCATGAAATGCTGATGCTCTGACTATATTTCATATCCTCTATGTTGCACCATTTCCCAGTTCACAGTTTATCCATGTATTAGCATGCCAATTGAACACATCAGTCAATGTCACCTTGAGAAAATTGTCAATAGCAGAGGAAGAATAACAAAAGGAGGCTTAGCACTAAGACCTGGGACACCACCACATTCTCTTGCATTTTCCTGAAGAGGAAAAAAGAAAAGAAAAGAAAAAAAAAAAAGATAAATACAAGCCAAGACTTCCAATTATGATATATGAGAATTTATGAAACTGCATAAGCAGAAGATGATTGATACAAACCACAAAAGCCGTGAAATAAATACACTCAAAAAAATAACACAGGTATTCATTTTAGTCTGCAGCTTAACTTGCTGAAATGAAAAGCAAGCAGGACCAACAAGAATCATACAGTGTCCTCCATGCAACATTTTAAGTCTCATTCCACATTCCATTACAGAACTAGAGGCACTAAAAAAACTACTCTTGTGTAAAACAGGTGTCTCATCTACTGCAGAAATCACTGCAATTGTGTCCTGTTCTCTATCAGATCTCCTTACTGTCCATCAGTGCTATGGAGAACACAGGGTGGTAAATTCGTGTAGTGACCTGTCCCAAGAAATACTATGTGTAAATATGATGAATATTCCATCACACCTGATATTGTGGAGTTAGTTTCCGAAATAGAAAACACTAATTAACTAAATAACTAACACTAACTAAAGTTCCCAGCCATCTCTAATGAGGAATCCTGCAATGAGTGCTCAGACAAAATTAGCTGCCATATTCCTGGCTACCAATCTGTGCTCATGTCTACCACATTCTATTACATGACATAAAACAGTCTACAAAAGTAACAAGACAAAACACTGTCTACAGAAGTACTAAAAAATTTTTCTACGCTTACAATGCCACTTGCTTCCTTTAGTAAAGTGTTCTGAGTACTCCAAATATTTTCTGATGAGTTTCATGTTATAAGACAGCTTTCCTATTTGCCTTTTTTTAAAAGGAATACAACTTCTACTAGAGACTAAAATAATAATAATAAAAAAGTAGAAACTTACTTCAGGGTGAAATCCATGGCAAGATTCTGGGCGTCTTCTTATCTTCTGAGATTTTAAACGTTCACACTTAAGGGATTCATTATGTACGATGTAATTAAGGAGAAGTCTTCTGAACATTGCATTTAAATATCCTGAGTTCATTTGAGTGCTTTGAAATGCATGCAGGGAAAATCTTTCAACTCCTCACATTTTTCTTTCATTCAAAGATCCAAGGTGAGGTGTGTGGTCAACACAAGAATAATAATGTAATTCTATGGCTTTCTGCTCAGCAGTCCGTTGTTCAGACAGTATCATTTGCACTAACACTATTAATCTGTCTTTAAATAACGTCTGTAATAAAAGCACACTGCTTTTGATAAATTCCAACTCATTAGAAAAAACAAATCCTGAAGTATACAGAACAGCACAGAATAAAAAGTATGACAGCTAAAAATCAATTGCTATCTTCAGTTTGCTAATTTTTTATACATTTGGAAAGCAGGATTCTGAAATGGTTTCAATGCTCCAGCCTAGTCTTAAAATGCTTATACAATCAGAGATTTCAGAAGTTCTAATATCAGGATTTCTACTCTCAGAAGGAACTTAGTTCATAAAGTGAATGAAGTCCCACTGCCTAAAAATAGAGACTATGACCTTCCGATACTTAAAAATGCATATAAGTGTATCTGCTTAAATTTTACTGGCTGTCCTAAATATCTAAACATGTGAATTCTCCTTGAAAGTAAGTAAGAATGCATTCTCAGCTGGCTTAATTTCAACCAGCCCCAGCTGTGATGCATTCTTTGAAGTTCTTAAGTCACTTTATGTAAGAAGAACATTTTCAGTGTTTACATCTTGAATCTCTTCTTGACAACTATGCAAATAAAAGGATATATCTTATTTCTATAGGCGCCATGGTAATTGGTGGGACAGAATCACAGAAGCATTCGTTATCTACTACCACCATAAAGAGATTGCTGCTCGGGATTTGCTGAATTACAAAGGACCTGCAAATGAAAAAAAAATAATTAATGGTAATATTTTCAATATTTCTTAGCAACAAGTTTTATTAAGGTATTTTAAGCCTGTCAATAATACTGTGTTACAGTCACAAATCTCATTGACTTCACATATTGTACTAAATCTCTAAACCTTGTAGAAGAAGAGAGTCTTGGGCAATGCTTTGCTCAGCTGATGGAAAATACTCACACATTTTGAGACGCACATAATGGCTGGTACACAGGTGGAATGGAACAGACAGGTTAATTCTGATGCTGTGTTAATGCCTAATACCTGGAATTGGAACATAGCTGAATAGCCAAGGAACTTATCTTCTTTTTCTTTCCTTCGATACTGAATCTTTTCTCCATAATTAAAAACTAGCTATGTATTTATGATCTGGAATTATCAAGTACACATGAAACCAATCAGCAAAAATAAAGCAGGCTCTTCTGCAACCAGATGGTAACAGCTCCAAGTCCCACTTATCACCTCTAGAATCACATCAGGGGCTTTATTCACTCTGCATCTTGCATGGCATGAAGCAACATGAATTGTTGAAACAGCTTTCATCTGGCCTCCTGAGACTCATTTTATTTCTAGGCCAATAAAACAGAGATTAAACCTCAAAATCTTTATAAGTGGGGAGATTTATTTTAGAACAATGCCAATTATATGGTACAAATATGGTGATAACTCAGGACTACAATCAAATTAAGAAAAAGTATGCAACTGAAAGGGAGAGAGAGAGAAATAAAGATACTGGTTGTAAGAAGGAAAGCACCCAGGGGAGACCAGGGAAGGAACCTGTGGGCACAGTTTAATGGTCCACATAGCTGCAATGAGCTGAATTCTTCAGCACTCACAAAGAGAAAAGAGGATGGCTGAAGGGCCAAAGAGGCACTGTTTAACCCTTTCTTTGAAATTCAGAACACAAGGAAAAAAAAAAAAGCTTTAATGTTCAGAGAAAATTTTTAATAATTTCTTAAAACTTTTGATCTGAATTTATATGCAATATTTACAATTTCTGCCAATACTCAAGAATCTGTGAAATCTGAATGTTCCAGGAATTAGGTGTTTTTCAGTGTGGTATACTGCTAAATGCATAGAATCTTGACTGAGGGTTTGAGGACCAAGATGATGTGGAGAGAAACATTTTTCCTCAGATATTGTTATGTAAAATACGTACTGTCTCACTAAAACAACTCCCTGCATCTTCCAAAAATCACATAAAATGAAACTGTGGAAGGGGTGGGGAATATTTGAACTTAGCTCCAGAAAGAAAAAAAAAAATTGGAAAACCTGCTATAAAAATGTTGCCAACAGAAAGATTAAACACTTCTCAGTATTTTTTAAACTTACTAAACCTCCATTAAAATTACACTTAGAGTGATCTGCAGTGTGTTAGCTTTATGTTTATACATGAAATATACATTTATGGCATACGTAAAAGGTTGAACTTTATAAATGCACCTACGAAACAGCTGGAGCATGTAGCAAGACTGACATCACTGTAATGGAGCATCTGTGGTTCTGTGGATTTGTGTGTGGGAGAAATGGGGCCAATAAAAGGAAAGGAGGGAAAATTCTTAACAGGGAACAACCTCTGAATTGTACTGAATGAATTTCTCAAAACTATTATGAATAAGTAAAACCTCTAAAGACAGGGAAAAAAAAAAAACAACAAAGAAAACTAATTTGATTTTATTCCCAATCTGGTTCTATTTGAACATTGTGCATTTAGAAATATTTATAATATTTATTGAATCTTTTAAACTAGCTCAGAAAAGGAGATGAAAGACGTAAAGAGTCATCACAATTAACTTCTAAATGATTCACTCCTCTTTGAGAACTCAGGAGTAACTACTATTCTGTTGTACCCAACGTGTGACTGGCTCAAAGACCTTTTCTAACAACTCCATTTGTGGCCCTCAGTTAAATACTGAAGCATGTCAGAAAGTGTGCACTATACTAGCCTGAATGTTGCCATTTAATAGACGGGATAGACATTCCCCATTTGGCATTTCATTTTTTCTTTCACTCACATGACGAGGGTGGCATAAGACTTGTACAGTATAGGGTACATCTTCCACATAAATGAGGAGAAAAAATAAAAAGGATATTGATGTTTCTATCAGTTCACCAAGCTGGAATGAAAAGAAGAAAGCACTGTGATTCAGAAGAAAATTTTCACTACAGAATTATGATGCTGAGTAGGTTACTACATGGGTTCCCTGACAAAATGGTCAGAAGCTATTAAAGGTTAGTAGGAATTACATTCTACAGAAAATTTTGCTAGAAACATTAATTTGGGTGTATATATATGGATTTATAGAAATTAAAAATTAAATTGCAAGGATTAAATTTATCAGGTTAAGAAAAAAAAAATAAACCTTTCTAATTGAAATTGTAAAAGATAGATATCTACGATTTACACTGGTTCATTTTACCAAATATTGGATATTTTTACAAATCTATGGTCTATTATATTTTTATACATATTTTTTGCATATTATATGTATCTATAGCCCTTTACAGACATTTTTGGTAACTGCCAAAGAACATGTGATTGTCATCTAAAGAACTATAAAAATATGAAACTTTTGGCTCACAAATATTTTTTTTCCACAGCACATAATAAAATCTAAACAAATATTTTTTCTGGAACATCTCCTTGACCATGCTAGAGACAAATTCAAAAGAAAACTTTAACTTTCACAAGAAGTAAATGAATGTTTTTCCCTTTCACAACTATCAAATCTAATCTTTCAATGAAGTTGTGTAGCCAAGTGCATGTCCTCACCAGTCATTGACTGTGAGGTCACTGGCAAAGGATTTAGATATCACCAAGTGAAGACAGAGGACTGAAGGCAGAGATTGAGTTGAACAACTAATTAGGAAAAAACAAAGTCTAATTTAGTTTTCTTTTCTAGTAATAGACTGTGCATAAGCAAATTATACTTCTTTCAGATACTTCTTTCAGCTGCTCTAATTTAAGATCATTTCACAGACACGAGATATTACCCTCACTAGATCATGGGCAAAGAAGCTCCTTCCAATCATTAGACTCTTCAGTTGCTTTGTAACTATTTGGATAATTCACATGACACTGCTTCCCTGCCCACCATCCTCCCAGCAGCTTTTGGTTTTCAACATTCAGCTTCCATGCTGACATGCTCTTGCATATTTGAAACTCATTTTGAGAGAATGAACATGGCAGCAAGTCTCAGGAACTGAACATTCATGGAAAATAAAATGTGTGTATATACAGTCAGAAAAAAAATCTTTCTTTTAAATACTGAAATATTCCACTAAAATATGTCACTGTGTACAGCCTCCATGACTGCGGTGGAAAATAAAGCTACTGACAAAGTAATGAAAGGGGTTTTGTCCTTTCAGTAAGTTCCACTGTGAGTTTCTTAAGTTAATATTATAATAAGCATTTCTGAACACCTGCTGGCTGAAATTGTCCTTTGTGTCTCTGTTAATATGGGAGTAAACAATCAGTAATAGGCTAAGGACTCCTCTTGAACTTTATTGCTGCGTTAAATAAAAGGAAGTCTATGTTTAATGCCTATATTTAATGTTTATGGAGAATGTTTTGTTTAAAGAGTAAAGCTCTTTTTAAGTTAAGTAAATCTTTTGGTCTGAGCCTTTTTCCTTTACAACAGTATCATCGTTGGACAGTCATTGCATAGCAAAAACCTTGCATAAGTCTCCGTATATGAAATGTAATTAGCTGTGGTGGTTCCTGTTATGTTGAAGCCACGCTGAGTCAATAAGAACCTTATTAATAATTTTTACTCCACCTTTCATTCACTGAGGAACTGGCTTCGTTTATTTGAAGTGCCAGTACAGAGTTTCAAAATAGACTCAAATATAAGCACCTTCTTCTCTTTGCTTTCAAGGGGAAGGTAAGGAACAAAGAAATTTGATACCTGAATGGAGTAGGGAAAAAAACCCTATTCATACCAAAATATCTTATTAATGAAGAAAAACTAAGAGTAGAGAGGAAGCTTGCAAGAAAGTCTGAATTTTAAGTCAGAGCATTAGAAAACACTTTCCACATTTGCACACATTTTATCTTTTCCTTTCTAACTTATTTCTGTATCAGTCCATATAGAGCATCTGCACAAATATCATACAAAATGAATTGGAAAATAAAATTAGAATCACAGAATTGTAGGGGTTGGAAGGGACCTCCAGAGATCATCGAGTCCAACCCCCATGCCAAAGCAGGTTCCCTACAGCAGGTCACACAGGTCGGCATCCAGGCAGGTCTTGAACATCTCCAGAGAAGGAGACTCCACCACCTCCCTGGCAGCCTGTTCCAGTGCTCCGTCACCTCACTGTAAAGAAGTTCTTGTGCACATCGGTGCGGAACTTCCTATGCTGCAGTTTCTGGCTGTTTCCCCTTGTCCTGTCTCCACTCACCACTGAAAAGAGTCTGGCCTCACCATTCTGCCCCCCACACCTTAGATATTTATAGACCTGGATCAGGTCCCCTCTCAGTCTTCTTTTCTCAAGGCTAAACAGACCCAGCCTTTCTTCATAGGAGAGATGCTCCAGGCCCTTCACCATCTTCGTGGCCCTCCGCTGGACTCTTTCCAAGAGATCCCTGTCTTTTTTGTACTGGGGAGCCCAGAACTGGACGCAGTGCTCCAGATGAGGCCTCACCAGGGCAGAGTAGACGGGGAGGATCACCTCCCTCGACCTGCTGGCCACGCTCTTTTTAATGCACCCCAGGATGCCATTGGCCCTCTTGGCCACAAGGGCACACTGCTGGCTCATGGCCAACCTGTCATCCACCAGGACACCCAGGTCCCTCTCCGCAGAGCTCCCCTCCAGCAGCTCATACCCCAACCTGTACTGGTGCATGGAATTATTCCTCCCCAGATGCAAGACTCTACACTTGCTTTTGTTAAACCTCATCCAGTTTTTTTTTGCCCAGCCTTTCCAGGTCTTGCTGAATGGCAGCACAGCCTTCAGGCGTGTCAGCCAATCCTCC